GAGTGAAAGAGTTTAGGAAGAAAAGAAAATACGGCCTAGAGGATGGGCCATGGATGAAGAGATCCAGCAAAGGAGACTGAGAAGGAGTGGTAATTTAGAATGGAGGAGAGAGACAGAGAGAGAGAGAGAGAGAGAGAGAGAGAGAGAGAGAGAGGGAGAGAGAGAGAGAGAGAGCGTGCGCAATTAGAGTTAGCAGTGTTCCAGAGAGTCAGAGTGTCCAGTATGAGAAGGTGGTCAGCAGTTTCAAAAACTGCAGAGAGATTGAGATGTATGAAAACTGAGAAAAGACCATCAGATTTGGCAATTGAGGCTACTGGTAACTTGGGAGAGAGCCATTTCAGTTGACTGTTGAGATTGGAAGCAGAGTTGAGGATGCTAAGGATGGAAGAGAGTGAGAAGATAGGAAACAGAGGCACTGATTCCTTTTTCAACTATTTCAACTGATAGGGATTATTGATATGTGAGGATAGTTACTGGGGATGGTAGGATTTAATGAGAGGGTTTTTTCTTTAATATTAGTCAGGGATGACTAGAAATAGATTCACAGAAACCATCTTTTCATATTGTTTACAGTGATACTGGCTTTCCTTGGGCCAGGACACAAGTTAGTGTAACGGAGAGAGCATTGAATCAGTCAGACTTTCATTGGTGTCTGGGCTCTGCAGGAGATGTGTATAGTGGAGGGTGGAGGGTGGATGAGGGAGCTCGCCAGTAGCCATAATCTTCTCAGTCAAGTAGGAGGCAATTCATCTGTTGAGAGAGGATTTATCCTGAATTATTCAAGTAATTGGGGGGGAGGCATCATAATATTGACCAACCCCACAGGGATGTTGTGGAGAATCCTGCATGATTGTGCCTCAAATACAATGTACCTCAAGTTTTATGTAAATGGATTAGATAAATAATAAGCAGTAAAGGCAAACATAAATAAATAGCTTGGCTTGGCCCCTCATCCATATTCCACCCACCACTTCTTTGCTTGGAATTGTCTTTGATAACCGCTGACATCCCAGCAGGCAGAAAAGACGGGGATGGAGAGAAGAATGGAGAGTAGGTTGTGCATTTGCTTTAAAAGTAGTATAAAGTGCTCGAGCTCTAGGCATTTTAAAGAAAACAAAAGGGGAGAGTTGTGGGACATGGCAAGCGAAACGTACAACATATTTGCCAGCTGGTGTTACTTCTCACAGATTGTTTAAAAAAAATATGCCTAATTATCGCTCCCCAGAGCTCTACTGTTTCACGTTCCGTACACAGAATCTGAAAGCAGCTCACATGCGGACAAGTAGCTTCCAGCCCTGAGCTCACTGCCTTCTCCTCCCCACTGGCCTGGCTTGCTGTGTGGAAGGTGTTCCATAAACTGGACAACCTAAATACTTTCTATTATTAAGGTTGACCATCCTGAGAATAAGAGATGGAAGTTAACTTGGCGGTCCTCCTGTTGCCTTGCTCTTTGTAAGCCGACGTCTTGATAAGCTTTCATTTGACTGCTCTTTCCCAAAGACTGGAGGCATAGGTTTTTGGCTGAGACTCTGGTTTTACTAGGGTTTTTTTGGGGGGGTGGTTAAATATATGGGTGATGAGAAACACCATATTTATCTGAATTTAGTCTGTCCCCACCTTTCATAAGGTAATATCTCATTGAAAGGAAAATAATAGTGGATTCCCACCCATGCTTAGGTTTTTATATCAACCAGATACAAGGTGGTTGGGGTTGGGGGAGCATATCACATGCAGTGCTCCTTACTTCCAGGTGAAAGTCTCATAGACCACATGGAGTTTTCCCAAATATGTGTTTGAAAAAGATAGGAAGTAAAGGCCTGATGTACTGCCATGCCTTTAATTCCTGCTAATGGGAGAGGCTGAGGCTGGTAGGTCACTTTAAATTGGGAAGTTCTGAGCTGCGGTAGGGATAAAACTGATTGGGTGTCCACACTGATTGGGCATCTGACACACAATTAAGGGAGCACCTGAAAATGGAGTGGGGGTGGGGGAGGGCACGTCATCTTGTCTAAAAAGGGTTAACCCACACAGGTTGAAATCAAAACAGGTCAAAATTTTTGTGCCAATCAACAGTGGGCTTGGGCATATGAGTAGCCACTGCCTTTCTAGCCTAGAGGTGATAGAGAGATCCAGTTTTGAAAAGGAAAGGAAAGGGAGGGAAGGGAAGAGGAAAGGGAAGGGGAAGGACAAGAGGAAGAAGAGGGAGGGAGAAGGAGAGAGAGACAGAAGGGAAGGAGAGGAAAGGAGAGCAGAGGGAAGGGAAAGGAAGAGAAGGAAAGAGGGAATGGAAGGAAAAAGAAGGGAAGGGAAGGAGCAAGGGAAGAGAGAAGGGAACAAAAGAGGGCAGGGAAGGGAAAAGAGATAGGAAGGGACAGACAACAATAGGAAGAGATAGATAGACAACCCGATCCAGTGGAAAGAACATTGAATTACTAGTCAAAGGGACCTGGGTTCAAATTCTGGTTTTGCCAATTTCTACCCGTTTGAATTTTGACAAGTTATTTAACCTCATCTTCCTTATCTGTAAAATTGAGGGGGAAGAGTTGGATGAGATGACTCCTACGGTCCCTTCCAGCTCTAAATATGGCCCAATCCTATGGCCCAATTCTGCTGCTTAGAAATCAATGTTATCTGTAGACTCTGAGAAAGAATCTGAGTTGCAGGCAAGCTCGAAGTTATCCAGGTCAATATCCACTTGAACAGATGCCTGCTTTATAGCACCATGACAAGTACTTGGATTGCAGTCCTAGCTCTGTCACTTACAGGTCTGTGGGATCCCAGCTGTTACACAGTTGTGACCTTTGGAAATGAACTGATCAACAAATCAATTAGCAAATAATTCTTGAGTGTCCTCTGTGTGCCAAGCACTATGCTAGGCACTGGGGGTACCAAGTAAGGAGTGAAACAGTACTAGTCTTCAAGGAACCAGGATTCTGTTGAAGGAGCATCTTGGACACCTACCAATAGATATGAAAAATATGTCAATAGATACAAGTTGATTTGAGGGGTGGGAGAGAAGCAATGTCATAAAAACCCAAAGAGAAGAGATTATTCAGGATGAGAGAGTGATTGAGCATCCAATGCTAAAAGACAGGGCAGGAACAGTAAGGACTGAAAAAAGTCCACAAGTCATAGCAAATAAGGGATCATTGGAAACTTTGGGGAGAACAGTTTTCAGTAAGTGAGGTTGGAAGCCAGACTGAAGAGGGTTTAGAAAAGAATGAGAGGAGAGGAAATGAATGAAATGAGTTTAGACAGCTTCTTCCAGGAGTTTGGAGGAGGAAGGAATGAGAGATATAAGACAATAGCTTGCAGGGATTTTTAAAGATGAAGGAATGTTTGTTGGCAGCAGGGAAGGACTGAGTAGATAGGGAGAGACTGAAGATTAGAGAAAGAATGGGGATGGTGGTGCAATCTGCTGGAGAAGGGGGAAAGGGTAGATTCAAGGGGTCAGCCTTGGCAAGGAGAAAATCCATCAAAGCCTGAGATAAAGGAAGGATTGGGAGGTGATTTTAAAGGATTATGAGAAGGAGATAAGGGAAATGGGGGAGTTCATGGCAAATAGCTTCCATTTTCACAGTAAATGATGAAGTTAGATCTAACTGTGAAGGTTAGGGGATAGGATAGTGTGGCAGGTTTCAGGAGAGAAGAAAAGATTTGGAATGGCTGCTCTAGGGAGTGGGGAAGAGAATCGATTAAGGAGGAGTAAAAGAATTACTAATGGTTTGGGACATAGTGAAGTTGAGATGTCTTTGTGACATTCATTTTGAAATATCTAATAGCCATTCCATGATTCAAGATTGGAACTCGGGAGAGGGACTAGGGCTGGATAGAGATATGGGAGCCATCTGCCTAGAAAAGTTAATTAAACTTATGAAAGCTGATGAGATCACCAAGGGAGAGGGGACCATAACAAAGCCTAGGGTTAAACTCCGAAGTTATGGGGAATGGCACCGATTTTTCTAGTGCCTTCCTAAGGTTACATTGTATCTGCTTTGTTGCACCTTGTATATTCTTAATATATGTGTGACTTATCTCCCCTCCCAGGATATATGCTCCTTGAATCAAAGACTTCTTTGTTTCCCCCCTCGTATTTCTGTGCTCAGCATAGCACATGGCACACACGTGGCGCTTGATCAAGGCTCCTTGAGAAATTGATTGTTTCAGCAAAGGGGACGGAGGAATGGTCGGAGAGTTAGGAATCGAAGCAGAGAGAACAGTTTCACAAACTGGAGAGGAGAGTGTCTAGGAGGAGAAAGTGGTCAACAGAGACAAATACCATGGAGAAGGCAAAGAAGGATGAAGACTGAGAAAAGATCATTAGATCTAGAAATTAAGAGATCACTGGTAACTTTGGAGAGAGCAGTTTCAGTTGAATGAGTAGTCTAGAAGCCAGCTTGCAGAGGGTTTGGAAGACAGTGTAAAGATAATTAGAGGCAATGATTATAGACACCTTTTCCTACAAATCTGGCTGAGAAAGGGAAGAGAGATAGAGGATGGTAACTAGTAGGGATGGTGGAGTATAGTAAGGGAAGAATGGAATTGGTAGAAAGGGAGATAATTGAAGATGAGAGAGAGAAAGAGGATAAAGAGGGGGGCAATCACTCACTATAACAGAAGAAAGGGGACAGGTCCTTGGTTGGTCTTGGCAAGGAGAAGGGCCACCTCATTATCAGAGTCTGGAGTAAAGGAGGAGAGAAAGGGGGATGGTGTCCAGGGATTATGATATGCTAAGAAGGCAAGAAGAGGAGCTTGTATTAAAGAGCCTCTATTTTCTCAGAGTAGTGTGAGACAAGCTCTTTAGCTGAGATTCAGGGGAGACATAGGAGGTTTGAAGAGAGAAGAGAAGGTTTTGTAATGGACGCTGTAGGAATTGGGATAGATATCCAATTAGGAAGGAGTAAACGGGTTGCCTTAATGGAATGAGGATCTAATTGAGATTCAATAGTATAAATGTAATTTATTTTTCTGACAAATTTCATTTTTTCTTCTTGTAACAGAGATGATTGTTGATAATCAGATTGAGACAGGCCTGTTGAAGGCTGACTTGAAGGACAAGGTGACCTACACCCTGCTCCGGAAGCATCGGCATCAGACTAAGAAATCCAATCTCCGATCTCTGGCTGACATCGGGAAGACCGTCTCCAGTGCAAGTAGGATGTTTTCCAACCCTGATAATGGTAATGCAGGGGCCAGTAGCTTTTTCTTTTACAACTTTTCTCATTCATTTCTGCTCCATCTCCTTCTGTCTTTTCTTCCTCTTTCTTTGAATCTGTACCTTTCTCTCTCTTTCATGGACATCTTATAAGGAAGCTGCCCCTTGCCCCTTGCCCCTTCAAATTTGCAGTCACTCTGGAAATATTTCAACTCTGGCTACTGCAGACTGCATGCACTACAATGATTACTTGTGGCAGCCTTATGTTTCCCTTGGTTGGAAGGGTAGGATTGGCAGCAATAGCCCACTGGTGGAACATGTGAATAATTCAGATGACTGGTTCAATTTGGAGGTGGCAGAGTATGAACAGAAATGTGCTTCAAATATGTTCTATAGCACGCTGGACCTGAAGTCAGGAAGACCTGAGTTCAAATCCAGCCTTAGAAACTTATCATCTGTGTGACCCTGGACAAGTCACTTAGTGTCTGTCTACCTTGATTTTCTCATCTGTAAAATGGGGGTAATAATAGCACCTACCTCCTAGGGTTGTGGTGAGGATCAAATGAGATAATATTCATAAAGATCACTGTGAACCTTAAAATGCTGGCTATGAAAATACTAATTATTATTATTATTATGGTGGTTTGGCAAAATTAAGAGTTCTTAGACGTATTTGTGCTAAAAACTGGATTGATGATTCTTAGAAAACAAAGAAGATGATATGATAGAATGACTAGATTAGAAGGGACCAAAGGGGCCATCTGCTCTGCCCTATATGTGAACAATAGTCTCCTGTTGACAAGGCATCCCTGACAAGTTGTCCTTTTGGAGCCTTTGCTTGAAACCATCCCAGGAGAGGGTGGCTGCCTCCCAACACAGCCCATGTCACTTCTGTGCACTTTTCTCCTGGTATCAGGCCAAAACCTGCCCCTTTTCCATTTTTTACTTCTTGTTTCTCATTCTGTCCCTTGGGGCCAACTAGAGCGAGATTCCGCATTAGGTCTCCACATGCTCGAAAGCCTCTATCATATTGCTCCAAATGCTTCTGTTCTCCAGACTAAATGTCCCTCATTCCTTCAGCCCTGTTCCTTATATAGAGTGACGTCAAGACCTCTCCACTCCTGATTGCCCTTCTCTGGGTGTTCTCCAGCTTAGCAGTAGTCTCCTTAAAATTCCGTGCCCCAAACTGAATGATGTACTCTGATCAGAGTAGAGTAAGTGGTACTCTTGTTTACTAGGGCCATAGATGTGTGTGTGTGTGTGTGTGTGTGCATACATACAAATACGTGCACACATATTATATATATGTGTATATATATATATATATATATATATATATATATATATATACACACACACACACATATATAATGTGGTGTCCCAAAAGTCTTAGTGCAGTTTAAAGCCATCTGCACTAAGACTTTGGAGATACCTGTACCATGCCTTTATTATTTCATACAATGATCTTATCACCCCCCCCCCATTGCTTTATTACCTTGTTGATTCATCTTGGACTTAAAGTCAATTAAAAATCTGTAGATTTCTTCTTATATCTGTTGGCATTGGCCAGGAGAAGTTGCCAAGCTGATATTTTTAGACCCAAGTATGAAATTTTGCATCATCCCTGTTCACATTTTATCATATTAGATTCATACCTAGTGTTGCTCAATATATCAATTATCCATCATTGAATCGTGTCCTCTACACAGGGATATGTGCCTTTAACCACATTACTAGCACAAGTGTTCACTGGCACAGGGCTAAAACAGATCCCTCTGGCTCTCTCCTATAGACCTCATTACAATTTGACATTAGACTATGAATTACCACTCTTTAGGTTCAATTATTCATCTTGATCAAATTTAACTAAATTTTTCATCTCGATCCTTTCCCCAATCTACCGGTCAAATAATCCTGTCATAAAACAGATTATTTGTTAACACCACTTCCTTTCACTAACCATGTTGTTCAGTTGTGACCAACTCCTTCATGACCCCATTTGGGGGTTTCTTGGCAGAGATACTGGAGGGGTTTGCCATTTCCTTCTCCAGCTCATTTTACAGATGAGGAAACTGAGGCAAACAGGGTAAAGTGACTTGACCAGGGCCACACAGTTAGTTAGTGTCTGAGGCTGGATTTGAACTCACAAAAATGAGTCCGGCTGACCCCAGGTCTGGCCACCTAGCTGGCCATACAGTCACTAACCACCCCTTTGCCATTACCATTCAAATGACTTTTGTTAGTAGGTCTTCAATTGATCTTCCCCCCTACCCCTGCAAGGGGTTCCTTTTAAAAGTGGGTCTGCTTTTATAGAGTGCTATAAAAATAGTCGAGTGTGGGTGGTATCAGGGTAGAATTTTGTTTAGTTCAGATTTGGAAAAGAGATAAGGGAGGTATTAGAGCCTGTTTATGCCCCCCATAGGCAAAAAAACCAAACCAAAAGCAACCAAACTAAAACAAGGAATTTGCCCTTTTTTTTTTTTACCATATACATTGGCCATAATGTTTTTGTGGTATCATCTCTTGTTCAAATATACTATATAATGGATAAGAGCTGAGAAAGAAAAAAAAATACTATTCCAGTATTTATAGAAAATTAACGTTATGGTGGATGTGTCCTGAGCTAGTGCAGCTTGGACAGGGCAGGAGACGGGGTAGAGGAGACTCATCTTAAGTATAAGAGAAATGGGCACGTGAATGAGAAGCCGATGTCATGGTGTTCAGGTGCATTGGCAAAGTGACATAAAAGATGAAGCTGTGAAAAGGCTGGATTAATGCATTGAAATAAAAAACAAATCCCAACTTATCCAACCATTCATTCCATTTCTGAGAAATTGGGTCTCCTGGCTTTCTGTTAAGAGAAGTGGTTCTTGGGGCAGCTAGATGGCACAGTGGATAGAGCACTGGCTCTGAATTCAGGAAGACCTGAGTTCAAATCTGACTGCAGACCTTGACACTTACTAGCTGTGTGACCCTGACCAAGTCACTTCACCCCATTGCTTTGCCAAAAACAAACAAACAAACAAAAGAATTGGTTCTTGTGCAACTCACCCAATGGTTGGCTGGAAGAGAAGGCACAGAGTGAGACATGGTCCTGGACTATGCCTTACCATCATTAGCTGAGTCTCTTAATATGGTTTTAGGTGTAGAATCTGATGAAATGCTCATTTTTATCAGTCAGTCCATCAGCATTTAGTAAGATCCCCTTGTATGCTAAGCTCTGGTGATATGATGGAGGACAAAAGACAAACCCTACTTTCAAGGAGCTCACACAATCCTTTGGAAACTGTAGGGTAATCTAGTGGTTAGAACAGCGGATGTGTGCAGTGTCATAGATGGCAGATGTACAGAAAAGATAGGACATTGGCATCAAAGTCACTAAGGTCATTGGATCCATCTTTTTCATATCAGCTCTTACACATGCCCTTTGAAGAGGCAGCTAGGCAGTTCAGTGGATAGAATACTGGGTCTGGAGTCAGAAAGACCTGAATTCAAATCCAGCCCAAGACACTTTCTTACTAGCTGTGTGACCCAGGGCAAGTCACTTTCCCTCTCTCTGACTCAGTTTCCTCAACTGTAAAATGGGGATAATCATGACACCTATCTCTCAGGGTTGTTGTGAGGACTGACTGAGATAATATTTGTAAAGTCTTTAGCCCAGTAACTGTCACTTAATAAATGCAGATTTCCTTTTTCTTCCTTCTCATTTAACGCAACATTCTACGGTTTGGGGGTGCTTTCTTGGGGTCAAGGAGCTGAGAGCAGGGAGAAGGGCCAAAGAATTAAGAATGCAGCAATAATGCTGCCTTCACAGGCAATGGTTTGGCAGAGAAATCTGGGAGGTTAGCCACCAATTTGAACCACATCTTCCGAAAATGTCTGTAAGAAAAAAAAAAAGAAAATGTCTGTAAGAGTTTAGCCATGAAGTCCTCGTGTTTGTAAGTACAAGCCTGGAGTATTTGGACACCAAATGCTGCCAGTAAAAGGGAGGCCTGTCGGCCTTTTATCTTCTCTCCAGATCTTGCTACTTCAGAGGAAAGTTTCAAATGTCTTCGTCATTCACCTTTTCGGTTGTGGAACGTGTGTGTGCTGGGCAGAGCACAGAGGCAAGGCCTGTTCCTTCTTGGCACTCCAGATGATCGGGATCTGATTAGGCCCTACCTGGTGATGTTATTATTGGCCTCCACGTTACTCAGTTCCTTTTCAGTATCCGTGGGGCAGGTTTAGCTCGGTGAGCTCCTCCAGCAGTGAATTCCACCGGCCTCTACAGTACATGAAAGTTGAAAGCTTTGTTTCCCAAATTTCCTTTTTCTTTGCTCTGTTGAACTCTCAGGCTTATGCTATTTACCTCAATATCACAGGAATGAGGTTCTTGACATAGTTATTAAGTAACAAAATAGTTTCAAAGTGATTTTCAAATGTGGAATACTCTAATCTAGAAATACTGTTATGAGTGGAAGGAATGCGATTTCCCTGTTTCTTGCTCTAAAACAATTTACCCTCTGCAGGCTTACATTTAGGGGCAAGATTTCTCCCATCTTCAGGGAAACACGTAATGAGTTTGGGACAGCTGGCTTTCAATCCTCTCATCAAAAAAATCAGTGCTAATAACACATTAAGCCGTAGCATCTGTACTTGTTAAGAAAGTATTGCACAAATGTCACGATTATTATTTTTGCTACTCATACTACTGAGCAAAAACACGGAATGTTGACATTTCAGATAGGGGAGTTCTTTGTCCTTCACGCCTACAAACTCAAAGTGATTTTTCTAGGAAAAGACTAACCATCCTTTGGGAACATCAGCATGAGCCTGGTTTCAAGATAACTGAGGGTTTACAAAGAGAACCACGTAACAAGTTCCAGTGGGTAGTGTTCAGGTGAGAACTGGGCCATCTTCCAGGACTGTATACTAGATTAAATTGCTACTGATCTGTCGTATCAATGGATTTCCGTTGGACATTTCGGCCAGGTACTAAATCTCAGTTAAATGTCTCCTATTTTTTAATCAAGCCATTGATAGAGT